TCAGAAATTTAGAAGTTCAGAAATTTAAAAGTTCAGAAATTCAGAAATTCAGAAATTCAGAAATTCAGAAAATCAGAAATTCAGAAATTCAGAAATTCACAAAATCAGAAATTCAGAAATTCAGAAATTCAGAAAATCAGAAAATCAGAAATTCAGAAATTCAGAAATTCAGAAATTCAGAAATTCAGAAAATTTAGAAATTCAGAAAATTTAGAAATTCAGAAAATTTAGAAATTCAGAAATTCAGAAATTCAGAAATTCAGAAATTCAGAAATTCAGAAATTCAGAAATTCAGAAATTCAAAAATTCAGAAATTTAGAAGTTCAGAAATTTAAAAGTTCAGAAATTCAGAAATTCAGAAATTCAGAAATTCAGAAAATCAGAAATTCAGAAATTCAGAAATTCACAAAATCAGAAATTCAGAAATTCAGAAATTCACAAAATCAGAAATTCAGAAATTCAGAAATTCAGATATTCAGAAATTCAGAAATTCAGAAATTCAGAAATTCAGAAATTCAGAAAATCAGAAATTCAGAAATTCAGAAATTCACAAAATCAGAAATTCAGAAATTCAGAAATTCAGAAAATCAGAAATTCAGAAATTCAGAAATTCAGAAATTCAGAAATTCAGAAAATTTAGAAATTCAGAAAATCAGAAATTCAGAAATTCAGAAATTCAGAAATTCAGAAATTCAGAAATTCAGAAATTCAGAAATTCAGAAATTCAGAAATTCAGAAATTCAAAAATTCAGAAATTTAGAAGTTCAGAAATTTAGAAGTTCAGAAATTTAAAAGTTCAGAAATTCAGAAATTCAGAAATTCAGAAATTCAGAAAATCAGAAATTCAGAAATTCAGAAATTCACAAAATCAGAAATTCAGAAATTCAGAAATTCACAAAATCAGAAATTCAGAAATTCAGAAGTTCAGAAATTCAGAAATTTAGAAGTTCAGAAATTCAGAAATTCAGAAATTCAGAAATTCAGAAATTCAGAAATTCAGAAATTCAGAAATTCAGAAATTCAGAAATTCAGAAATTCAGAAAATTTAGAAATTCAGAAAATTTAGAAATTCAGAAAATTTAGAAATTCAGAAATTCAGAAATTCAGAAATTCAGAAATTCAGAAATTCAGAAATTCAAAAATTCAGAAATTTAGAAGTTCAGAAATTTAGAAGTTCAGAAATTTAAAAGTTCAGAAATTCAGAAATTCAGAAATTCAGAAATTCAGAAAATCAGAAATTCAGAAATTCAGAAATTCAGAAAATCAGAAATTCAGAAGTTCAGAAATTCAGAAAATCAGAAATTCAGAAATTCAGAAATTCAGAAATTCAGAAATTCAGAAATTCAGAAATTCAGAAATTCAGAAATTCAGAAATTCAGAAATTCAGAAATTCAGAAATTCAGAAATTCAGAAATTCAGAAATTCAGAAATTCCGAAGTTCAGAAATTCAGAAATTCAGGAATTCAGAAATTCAGAAATTCAGAAATTCAGAAATTCAGAAATTCAGAAATTCAGAAATTCAGAAATTCAGAAATTCAGAAATTCAGAAATTCAGAAATTCAGAAATTCAGAAATTCAGAAATTCAGAAATTCAGAAATTCCGAAGTTCAGAAATTCAGAAATTCGGAAATTCAGAAATTAAGAAATTCAGAAATTCAGAAATTCAGAAAATTTAGAAATTCAGAAATTCAGAAATTCAGAAATTCAGAAATTCAGAAATTCAGAAATTCAGAAATTCAGAAATTCAAATTTTTAATTTTCCAGCACTACTACTGTCCAAGCAACATATTCTATCTATCAGTGGAGGATTGTACCAACTACATCGTGACCCCTTCAGCTTCTTCTACCGTATCTTTTATGCCGTCGCATTCCCATTCAGAGACTACTACTGTCGTCCATTCTGTGATGGAGGCACTGGAGAGGACTATGAACTAGTTCTTTGAGTTTTGAAAAAAAAAATGATTACGAATTTTTTTTGGAAATTTTTGAATGAATGAATCGTTTGTGAGCATTAGTTCGATTTTTCATACTTACCGTACGTTAACTTGAAACTCAATTATCTCGGTTCCTGATAAAGATATGAAAAATGTGCCAACTGATAAATTGTTTATCATAATATCTTATTCATCTCATCAGTTGTCACATTTTCGATATCTATAATAGGAGCCGAGATAATTGAGCTCAAACTTAGCAGTGTGGGGACAGGCCCTTCTATTACAGGCTTTACGGTAAAATAATTCTTGATTTTTCAAATGTTTTTCAAATTTTTTGTTCAAAATTTGCTTTAAAACTTTTGACCTGTTAGATTGTGCAGGAAATTGGAATTTCAAGATTCCAGATTTCTCGGAAGTTATGGATTTTTGGACTATCAGGATTTGCCGAGTTTTAGATTTTTTGAAATTGCAGAACTCTTGGAATTTTCAGATATTTTGGTTTTTCAGAATTTCTGGACTTTCAGATTTTTAGGATATTTAGATTTTTCAGATTTCCAGTTTTCCTTTGGTATTTCCAGAGTTTCTTTTGGTATTTCCGAATTTTTTGGATGCCATAAAACCTGTATAGAAGGGCCCCTACACTGTTAATTTTAAGCTCACTTATCTCGGCTCCTATAAAAGATATCAAAAATGCGTAAACTGATAAATTATTTATCATAATATCATCGACAACTTTTTAATATCTTTTACAGGAATCGAGATAATTGAGTTTCAAGTTAACGTACGGTAAGTATGAAAAATCGAACTAATGCTCACAAGCGATTCATTCATTCAAAAATTTCCAAAAAAAAAAATCGTAATCATTTTTTTTTCAAAACTCAAAGAACTAGTTCATAGTCTCTCCAGTGCCTCCATCACAGAATGGACGACAGTAGTAGTCTCTGAATGGGAATGCGACGGCATAAAAGATACGGTAGAAGAAGCTGAATGGGGTCACGATGTAGTTGGTACAATCCTCCACTGATAGATAGAATATGTTGCTTGGACAGTAGTAGTGCTGGAAAATTAAAAATTTGAATTTCTGAATTTCTGAATTTCTGAATTTCTGAATTTCTGAATTTCTGAATTTCTGAATTTCTGAATTTCTAAATTTTCTGAATTTCTGAATTTCTGAATTTCTTAATTTCTGAATTTCCGAATTTCTGAATTTCTGAACTTCGGAATTTCTGAATTTCTGAATTTCTGAATTTCTGAATTTCTGAATTTCTGAATTTCTGAATTTCTGAATTTCTGAATTTCTGAATTTCTGAATTTCTGAATTTCTGAATTTCTGAATTTCTGAATTTCTGAATTTCTGAATTCCTGAATTTCTGAATTTCTGAACTTCGGAATTTCTGAATTTCTGAATTTCTGAATTTCTGAATTTCTGAATTTCTGAATTTCTGAATTTCTGAATTTCTGAATTTCTGAATTTCTGAATTTCTGAATTTCTGAATTTCTGAATTTCTGAATTTCTGAATTTCCGAATTTCTGAATTTCTGAACTTCGGAATTTCTGAATTTCTGAATTTCTGAATTTCTGAATTTCTGAATTTCTGAATTTCTAAATTTTCTGAATTTCTGAATTTCTGAATTTCTGAATTTCTGAATTTCTGAATTTCTGAATTTCTGAATTTCTGAATTTCTGAATTTCTGAATTTCTGAATTTCTGAATTTCTGAATTTCTGAATTTCTGAATTTCTGAATTTCTGAATTTCTGAATTTCTGAATTTCTGAATTTCTGAATTTCTGAATTTCTGAATTTCTGAATTTCTGAATTTCCGAATTTCTGAATTTCTGAACTTCGGAATTTCTGAATTTCTGAATTTCTGAATTTCTGAATTTCTGAATTTCTGAATTTCTAAATTTTCTGAATTTCTGAATTTCTGAATTTCTGAATTTCTGAATTTCTGAATTTCTGAATTTCTGAATTTCTGAATTTCTGAATTTCTGAATTTCTGAACTTCGGAATTTCTGAATTTCTGAATTTCTGAATTTCTGAATTTCTGAATTTCTGAATTTCTGAATTTCTGAATTTCTGAATTTCGGCATAAAAGATACGGTAGAAGAAGCTGAATGGGGTCACGATGTAGTTGGTGGCTCAAGGTTGAAAATTATGGGGGGGGGGGGCCTTCTATTACAGGTTTTACGGTAGTTAAAAATCTGTTTTTTAAAGAAGTTAGTTCTTCAAAAAACTTGAATTCTCTTTCAAAAATTGTTCTCCTTCCAAATTTGTTCATGATCATTGACCGAAAAATTATACCCAAACATGTCCACTCATCTCCAAAAAAAGCGAAAAAAAATTCTATAATTTCCCTTTCCAAATGTCCTCAAGTACACAAATTTGTTGCCAACACTTTGATTGCACAACACAAGAATCCAGAAAATAAGGACTACACTAATTATCTATTATATGTTCCGAAACCGAAACCACTAGAAATAGGAAGGCAAAAAAAGGGAAAATCTAGCGGAAAGAGGGGGAGGGAGGGAAGGGCAATTAAAGGGAGAACATAATTAGTGAAATCAAAGTGTTAATTGGGCATCTTCCCTCATTTGGTGTGTCCAGCCTTGTTTCATGTTATACCATCCACTTTTATTACGCCATTCATCATTTATGTTTTCTATGCGTATCATTTTCCCCCGTTCGCCTGTTCGTCGTCTTCTTTTATCTTCTATTTTCTAGAATATTCCCTTTTCTGTCCTTTTTGGGATCTTACTTTGATTGTTTCTATTTTAGGTTGCTTATTCTTGTGATCCTTCTTTAAGTCTTCTTATCAGGGTCCCCATTTTTAGAGAACCATCTTTAGGGTCTCTTTTAAAAAAGAATCATATTTAGAGTTCCTTTTTTGCACCTTTCGTGTTTGGTTCTTATTTTTTAAGGTCTCCCTTCATGGTCCCGTTTTTTGTGCACCTATTTTCTTGGACGCCTTTTTAAGGAATAATTTTTTAGATACCTCATTTTTAAGGTTCCTGATCTTCGATTTTTCTGAATTTCTGAAATTTTTTAAGTTGTGATTTTTCTGAAAACCCAAAATCCTGAGATTTTTAACATTCCGAGTCTTTCGAAATTATAAAATTCCGAGGATTCCGAAATTCGGAAATCCCGAAATTCTGAAAATTGTAAGATTTCTGAAATTCGGACGTTTTGGACATCTGAAAATTATAAAAGTTTGGGGTTCAAGTTTTTCGAAACTTCTGAAAATCAAAAAATTCAAAAAGTCTGAAATTCCGAAACTTGAAGATTTCGACAAAACTGAAGCTCGAAAACTTTTAGATTCTGGGATTTTTCAAAATAAGATTTATGAAATTCTGAAATTCCAAGACTCTGAGGTTTTAGAAATTTGGAGAATACCAAAAGTTCTGGAATATTGATTCAAAATTTCTTAGAATTCTGGAAATCTAAGGTTTTTGAAACTCTAAGATCTCAAAAATTCAGCGAATTCCGAGAAATAAAATTCAAAATTTTTTTGATGTTCCACGGCTTCTGAAGTTTCAAGTTTCAATTTTTTTTTCGAAATCATGGTTACGGTAGTTTTTCACAATGCAAGCGAGTATTGAGCTACACAGTTGCAAAAACGATACAAATTTTTTAATTTTATTGTTTCTGATGACATCATAAAAGCAATAAAACAGAGAAGCTTATTTTGTTTGCCACGGCATGTACTATGTCTATGAACTGGTAGGATTAAAGGACCGCGATGTGTCAAATTTGGACAATGCCAAACTTTATGGTCATTTGGATTTAGGAGTAGGAGGATTAGTGGCTTTTGATGGAAAGAATAAAACGCCTTGTACTTTTGAAATAGGAGTTTTGTGTTTTGTTAGTCTTAAGACATTCACGTTTGTATAATTTTTACAACTTCAACTTTTTTTGGCTACCGTAATCCATTTCTAGCTTTTTTCAGATATTTTAGTACTAAACCTTCTCCTCTTTCTCGACTTCCAAACTAGCCATAGCCCAAGCCAACTAGAAAAAAGGGGCCAAATTCACAACTTACAGTAGTATACTGGACATGGCGATTCCTTAATTAGCACCCTCTTCTTCTTCTTCTTGGTATAGGTTTCTCGAAGGTCGTTACGGAATACGAAAAATACAAAAAGGACTACAAAACGAGTATCCGGTCATTTAGGGGGGAGGGATGGTAATTGGCATTAGTAGGAAGATCCTTTTTTTTGGTTCCATGGGGGATGGGCAAAAGATTTATTCTCGAAAAAGGAGTAGTGGAATTGTTTTGGCATTTCTGCTAGCTTCTTCTTTTCTGAGTTTTAATTGGCCAATTATCTCCCTGAAATTTTGAAATTTTGAATGGAAAACGCTGTAAGCTCAAATTTAAAGCTCTAAGCCCTAATTTAAATCCTCAGGCTTGAATTTAAAGCTCTATGCTTAAGCTTGAAGTTCTAAGCTCAATTGACTTTGTAACTTATGTCAGCTAAGTACCATTTTTGACCTACAAATGCCCCTTTTTTGGGATTTTTTCGCCCAATTCTTGCCCATCATTCCCTTCTCAATGACCGTGAAATGACCTAGTGACATGCAATTTTTTGCCTCTTTTTGAAATTTAATCGACCGGAAGTTATGAACTGTTTTGATTGTCCATTTTGTCAGAATTCCTGTTTTCCTTTTTTGGATTTCTAATTCTCCTAAATTCTAATTTTTCAGATAATCATGAAAAGTTATATTCTGAGCTTTTGGATATTTTGGAGTTTTGTGGATTTTTCAAATTCTGCTCAGGTGCCAAGGATACAAAATGGGATTGTTGGTAAGACACTTTTAGAGCTTTGAAAGAATAGGTCAAACTAGTTCGATTTTCCTGAAAATTTCAGAAAATATGAAACAAAAGTAGAACTTCATTTTTGTAGTTGACGACTTTTTTGAAAAATCGCTTTATGTCAAGTTTCAGTACCCAATTGAAAATACACAACTTTTTGAGTTTTTCAGTGAAAAAGGACCAATTTTGAATTCCTGAAAATTAGTTTCAGATTTTTTCGATTTGTCTGAAAATTTGAGAGATTACTAAACAAAATGCGAGCTTTAATTTTGTAGTTGACGGCTTTTCTGTAAAATCAGGTCCTAGGAGAAATGCCACGTGGAAGAAGGCACCCGGAAAAAAAAAGGGGGGGGGGGTGGCGCCTTTCCAACAGGGGAGCCTTATTCTACGGATGGCATATCTCCTCAGGACCTAATTCTACAAAAAAGTTGTCAACTGCAAAATTGAAGTTCATGTTTTGTTTCGTATGATCTGAAAATTTCAGACAAATCTATAAATTAAAAAAACCATTTCCACAGCTTCAAAGTTGACAATTTTCCACTGAGAAAGGAACTTTTGACTTATTTTTGTTGGGTACTGTATCTTCTCAGAAAGTGACTTTTCAAAAAAGGTGTCGACTACGAAAATGACGCTCTAGTTTTGTTTAGTATGATCTGAAAATTCATAGTAGCCGGACAATTTTGAACTACTTTATCAAAGTCGTAAACTAAGGTAATTATCACGGAAAATTTAAAAATATGGTTATTTAATGTCCCGGAAAAGTAATCCAGAATTTTGTGATTAGTCTGAAATTTTCACAGGATTTTAGTTCACAGAATTAAACACACACCATTTCCAATTGAAAATGCACAACTTTTTGAGTTTTTCAGTGAAAAAGGACCAATTTTGAATTCCTGAAAATTAGTTTCAGATTTTTTCGATTTGTCTGAAAATTTGAGAGATTACTAAACAAAATTAGAGCTTCATTTTTGATGTTGACAACTTTTCTGTGAAATCAGATCCTGAGGAGATATGCCACGTGGGAGAAGGCACCCTCCCCCTTTTTGAAGAGGCGCCACCACCCGCCTTTCCAACAGGGGAGCCTTTTTCTATGGGGCATATCTCCTCAGGACCTAGTTCTACAAGAAAGTTGTCAACTACGAAAATGAAGCTTTAGTTTTGTTTAGTATGATCTGAAAATTTCATAAAGATTGAAAAAATACTGAAGAATTTTTTGAGTCTCTGAAATTGACGATGCTCACGCGTGGTAACGACTTCCAAAGAGTACGCCTTTTCCCACGGAGCATATCTCCTCAGGACCTAATTCTAGAAGAAATTTGTCAACTACAAAAATGAAGCTTCAGTTTTGTTTAACATAGTCTAGAAATTTCAGACAAATCGGAAAGTTCTGAAATGCTTTTCCAGCACTCCAAAAATGACTATTTTTCACTAGAAACACTCGAAAAATACCGTTTTTTTCCAGGCGAACCCGAAGTGATTTGTGACATTCGCCATATTAAAATCACTATGAAAACCAAGGACACATTTGTTGGAAATCTGTATGCCAAGGGATTTTTCCACAAGTCCGAATGTCGGGTCCGTGGAAATTCGACAGCGAATTCAGTGGAAATTGTGATTCCCGTGGATTCGGACTGCGGAATTCGTCGGAAGCGAATGATGAACCCACGTGGCATTCTGCTGGACACAATTGTGATTCTAATGTTCCACCCGGTTTTCCTGACACAAACTGATAGGAGTTATCATGTTCAGTGCCAGTATACAGAATCTGAGAGGACTGTGACGAACGCATTGGATGTTAGCATGCAGCCGGCGTCGGAACTTCCACAGAGTATACAGCAGAATGATGAAGAATCTGCACCTGTTTGCAAATATGAGGTTCTGATGGAAAGTGCTAATGGACCACCATTGACACATGCAACCGTTGGAGACTTGGTTTATCATAAGTACGGGTTTTTTTGGGGAACTTTTTTCTAAAATAGACAGTAACCAAGTTGTATGTATCTTTTTCTAAAATTGGAGATCGAAAAATCTGGCTTCCAGACTTCATTTTAGTTTAAAAACCAACATTCTAGCACTTCTAGAAAGCGAGATACAGCCGTTCGAAGTTTTGGAGAGACGCAGACAGTTAGAACGTCTCGTCGTCTGCGTCTCTAGCTTCCGAAACTTCAAATGGCTGTATCTCAGCTCCCAGTGGTCCTAGAAATATAATTTTTGAACCAAAATACGTTATTTTAGAGGGTGTCAAACAACTTAAATTAGAAACTTGTGATTTTTAATCATTTTATGCTGAAAAATCACTTTGAGTTAATAAATTTAATTTCCGAAGATTTTTAGCCAAAAACTATTATTTTTCAATAGAAAAATACGTTTTTGTATATCTTACTGTATCTGATTACCAGTCCGAGATATCAAAAAGTGGTCAATTGTCAAAATTGCTGATATTATGATAATCATTCTATCAGTTGAGCACTTTATCACTAAAATAGGTCATGTTTATACTCATTTTGAAGCATTTTAGGCTGCAAATTCAATTATTTTAAAAATTCTGAAATTTCAGATGGTCCTGTGACGGCTCCAACAAGGAAATGTTCTGTATGACAGTTCACTCGTGTGTCGTAGACGATGGTCAAGGATTTGGTCAAAAGTTGGTCGATGAGAATGGTTGCTCTCTAGATGCGTTTATTTTAAAAGAGCTGGAATATAAGGAGAAGAATCTGGAAGCGGGACAAATGTCTTCAGTTTTTAAGTTTGCCGATAAGCCTACCGTATTCTTCTCGTGTATGATTCGAGTGGAAATGAAGGAGTCTGCTGAGATGCCTTGTGTGGTAATTAGTAAACTTAATTGGGCAATTAACAAACTATTTGGTTAAGGTGCCAACTGAAAAATGCAAAAATCGATCTCCATCAGAATCCCAAAATCTAGATGTGATGACGAGCAAAAAGGTTTCGGATGAAATTCCTGCCGGGTTCCCAAGACCACCGAATGATACTAGACTTCAGGTAATTAAGGGGATAATTAGAGCAATTAAAAAAAATTTTTTTGAGTATTAATTTGAAGTATACTCTTGTTAAGCAGAATTATAAAATTCCAAAAAAAAAAATCCTAAAAAATGTTAAAAATGAATCGACGAGGCTCCAAAGAAGGATAAAGTACCCACAGAAAATTGATAAAAGTACTGTAACTTGATCTGTTTTTATCCGATCCTGATGAAAACTATATCATTGTGATTAGAATGAGAAGAGCTTCAAAAATAGTATAAACAAGACTAGATTCCAAACAATTAAATTTTCATTTTGGGACCCAAAATTGTGAAAAACTACCGTAACTCGATTAGTATTTTGGCAGATAGTACAAAAAACTATATATTTGCAATCAGCATGAAGCGAGCTTCAAAATGAGTATAAACATGACATGTTTTCGAAAAACGTTATTTTCGAAATTTTGGGTCCCAGAACGAAAATCGAAAAAACACTTTTTTGGAACCTTGCCTTGTTTATACTCATTATGAAGCTGTTTCTATGCTGATCAAAAATATATAATATTCATAGATATTAGATTTAAACTGATAGGGTTACGGTAATTTTTCAAAAATGTTGGGTCCCACAACGAAAATTTTCATTTTTTGAAAAATCAATTTTTATAGAACCTTGCCTTGTTTATACTCATTTTGAAGCTCGTATTAGACTAATTACAAATATATACTTTTTATCACAATCTGACAAAACCTCGTTAAGTTACAGTAGTTTTTCACTATTTCGAGTCCCACAAAAAAAATTTTTTAGAATCTAGCCTTGTTTATACTCATTTTGAAATCTTCCCGAATTTGAAAATCTGTTCAAAAATTAAAAATTCCAGAATTCTGGAAAGTTCTCCACCGATTCTGATTTCTCCGACTTCATTGATGATGAGCTAGAGGTGGAAGTGGATAAGATGGGCAAAATTTCGGCGTCGACGTGAAGAATTTTTTTTTTTGAAAATTTTTCAAATCTGAAATTTTCAGAATGAACAGACTCATTCGACGAGACATTTCTGGGAATAAAAACAAGATTCTGGCAGATTTAGACGTCGTTGCGCCTTCTGTAGACGTTCAGGACCTTCCAGAGTCGGGTAAAAAAATTTCAAAAAAAAAATTTTTTTTTTGAAGTTTTATTTTTTTTTTCAGAATTGGGGACCTTGCGAAAAGATAAATCCAGAAAACTACTGAAAACCGTGTCATCCTCAGAAGTGTGTTTCACAAAAACCAATATAATTTTGAGTTTGCTCATTCTTGTGGCACTTGGCATTGTTACAGTATCCCTGATGTATTTGGTGATTAGTAGGATTGCAGAGAAAGGTTGGTTTGTTGAAACCATTGTTGAAAAGTGATAAAAATTTTGAAATCACCGTTTTTGAAAACCCCTAAAACTTTTTGAATAAGAAAAAAAAAGGTTTTCGGAATGATTTTTCTCGTTAACTAATGCCAATTTTTTGAATTTTAACATTATCGTAAAACCTGTAATAAAAGAGTCCCCTAATTTTCAACTTTGAGCCAATTTATCAGATAAATTGTCCATCATAATATCCTATACATTTTATCCGTTGACACATTTTTGATATCTCTTATAGGAGCTGAGATAATTGAGCTCAAACTTGACAGTGTGTGGGGGGCCCTTCTATTACAGGCTTTACGATAAAATAATTCTTGATTTTTCAAATGTTTTTCAAATTTTTTGTTCAAAATTTGCTTTAAAACTTTTGACCTGTTAGATTGTGCAGGAAATTGGAATTTCAAGATTCCAGATTTCTCGGAAATTATGGATTTTTGGACTATCAGGATTTGCCGAGTTTTAGATTTTTTGAAATTTCAGAACTCTTGGAATTTTCAGATATTTTGGTTTTTCAGAATTTCTGGACTTTCAGATTTTTAGGATATTTAGATTTTTCAGATTTCCAGTTTTCCTTTGGTATTTCCAGAGTTTCTTTTGGTATTTCCGAATTTTTTGGATGCCATAAAACCTGTATTAGAAGGGCCCCTACACTGTTAATTTTAAGCTCACTTATCTCGGCTCCTATAAAAGATATCAAAAATGCGTAAACTGATAAATTATTTATCATAATATCATCAATATTTTATCAGTTGACAACTTTTTAATATCTTTATCAGGAATCGAGATAATTCTTCTATTACAGGTTTTACGGTAATTATCTCTATATTAATTGAAAGTTTTTCAGAATTCGCTCGAAAAAAGTGCAAGAAACTTCCACTGCCAGATTTCTCGCGATGAATGACATTTCAATTTTTTAAAATTTATGTCGAAATTCAACTTTTGATTTTCTTTTTTTTTTCAATATTTTTCCTGTTACCGGTATATTTTTCCAATTCCTATTTTTTGATTAAAAAAATGGTATTTATTAATTTTTTCAGTCTGAATTCACCATAAAAATACTCTAATAGAACGCCACCTGAATCGTCCATTTTGAGCTCAATTATCTCGGTTACTGTGAAAGATATCAAAAAGTGGTCAACTGATAAAATGTTGCTGATACCATGATAAACATTTTATCAGTTGACAACTTTTTGATATCTTTCAGAAGAACTGAGATATATGAGCTCAAAGTGGACGGTCCAGGCGGCGTTCTATTAGAATTTAGACATTTTTCGACTCTGTTTTTTTTTTTGCTAGCTTCATATTTTTTTAGCCAGGGTTTGTACAAAAAAAGTCGTCAACTACAAAAATGAAGCTCTTGTTTTGATTAGTATACTCCAAACATTTCAGGTAAGACGAAAAATTCTGGAATGATTTTTCTAGGAATTCAAGTTGACCATTTTTCACTGAAAAGGTCCCAAGATTGTTACTGTTTTGTTTGGTACTGTAACTTTTCAAAAAGCGATTTTTCAAAAAAGTCATCAACTACAAAAATGAAGTTCCAAACCTTATTTATGATTTCTGCAATTTTCAGACACCTCTACCAAGTATGAAGCACTTTTTCGGACCTTGAAAATTTGCTATTTATCAATAATATCGAAAATTTTGTGAATTTTTAAAATCAATTTTTTGAAGACTTTTTGATTTTTTTTCAGATTTTCAGATCTAAACATTTTTTGTTTATCAAAAAAAAGCATTCCCCAGAACACCCCAATGACAAGAAATATTGCTCATCCTTCTTCCCCAATTCTCCTCTTCTCTCAACAAAAACCAAATGGTCAGAAGGAGGTAAAAGAGTGATAAAAAGTGATAAGGTAGAGAGTAAGGGAAACAAGGAGACGCAGAAAAAATCTGATCACTCCACGCCAGTTGCCAACAAGCTTTTGGAGCAAGAGTCTAGGTTCAGTATTGTCGATTTTTGATTTGACAATCGGATTTTTAAAAATCCCAATTTTTTTATTCTGGAACATTTTCACACAAATTTTCAGAATTTTAGCCCATTTTTTGAGAATTCAAGGATGAAAATTTAAAGGATCAGTGATTTCTAGAGATGTGAGTTTTTTTTTCATTTTGAGAGATTTTTCGAAAATGTGGTGAACACCTGGAGAATGAAATTTCTATTAAACTAAGATATTGAGAAGTGTGAAATTTTTTGAAAATTATGAGATTGAGAGATTTTTCATTCTTCACTAGAATTTTTTTGATAATATATAATTTTTGAAAAATGCCAAACTTTTTTGGGAATGAACGGTGAGATTTTTGAAATTGAGCCAATTAAGCCAATTGAGCCACTTTATCTTGGTTCCTGACTGATAAATTGTTTATCATAATATCCTATACATTTTATCAGTTCACGCATTTTTGATATCTTTTATAGGAACCGAGATAATTGAGCTCAAACTTGACAGTGTGGGGCGGGGGGCCCTTCTATTACAGGCTTTGCGGAAATCTGTGTTTCAATTCTTGCTCTCTCGATCTGAGCCTTCGTGCTAGACAGCAATTCAAAAAAAAGTACACACAAAGAATTCTTCCGAATCGACCTCCGAAAGATATCAGTGATATCGCATTTCATACACATTCGTGTCCCAAAAAATCTCCCAGTTCCTTCTTTTTTTCTCACTTTTCAACTTGACGGCTCAGTTTTACGGCTCAAAATATTTATTTATTTATTTTTGGACTAATTTATTTATTTTTGGCTAATTAGCCAATTACCCAAATCAAAATGATGTAAGTTACAGCTTAAAGTAGTTCTGAAAATTAAAAAAAAATCGTTCCTAGTGAGAAGTTTTCTTAGTGAGAATGTTTTTAATAAGGAGCTTTCTTAGTGAGAATTTTTCTTACTGAGAATCATTCTTATTAATCATTTTTCTTAGTGAGAACCTTCCTTACCTTAGTTAGTGAGAAATTTTCTTACTATCCTTTTTTAAAAATCCTTCTTTCATCCTTCAAAAATCCAGAAAAAAAACGCAAAAAAAGTATGGCGAGAAGGGGTCTGAACCTGCATCTAGTCGCTTACTGTACATCCCTCCTCGCCACTACACCACTGCTCGCTGTTTGTTTCCCTTCCCCCAATCTATATAAGAAAGAGGGGAGGCGCCCTTAAGAGTCAAATTTGAGCCAAATTTGAAACTTGATTTTCTCGATACTGGTAGCTCCTCAGCAAAATCTGAATACAGATTTGAAAATGTCTCATCCTCAGCTTTCGAATGATATAAGCTTCATACCAAAGTTCCACCCCCCCGATTACAACCTTCCCTAGTAAGAACAGTGCTAGTGAGAAGGTTTCTTGTTGAGAAATTAGAGAAAGAAAGAGAGAGAGAAAAAAAAACAGTTGGATCTATCATTAAATATTTTCAGAATGTTCTGGAATCTTGTAGCCGTCAATTATGAGCGGTACCATCTACACCACCTGGCCAAAATTGGCGTTCTGATACTCTACAGTTTCCTAGGAGCCGGATTATTCATTCTGTGCGAAGCGGAACATGAAAAAATGACAAAAAACGAGGATAACATGCGGATACTGAGAACTAGTATAGCAGCAAAGCAGCTCTTTGTGCAGCGGTTGCAGGTAACCAAATTTTTATATTTTCAAAATAATTTTTGTACATTTGAAAAGCTGAAATTACGGGAAATTCAAATATATATTCAGATTTTCAAATGGACAAGTTTAAGTCAAGTTATGAGCATTTAAAATTTCCATGTCCTTCTTTTGGGATACCGTCATTTTCAAAAAGTCGTAACTTGGCTCAAACTTGTCATATTTGAAATCCAATTTGATTTTTGAATTTTTCGGATTTCCAGCTTTCAATTGATATAAAAATTCATTGCTATTAGGAAAAACCATTTCAGAAAAAAAGTCGATTTCCAGAATATGTTCCAAACTTTCAATACCACCTCTGAATTCTCAGAGACCAAATTGAGAAGGGTGTTGTCGGAATACGACGCGGCGATGGGTATCACAATTGATAGTAAAATGGAGACGAGATGGGATATTTGGGGTGGTCTTTATTATGCGGGCACCATTTATACAACTATTGGTGAGTTGTTTCGATCCTCAATAAGAAAGATTCTCACTAAGAAAGATTCTCACTGAGAAACATCCCTACCATTAAAGCAGGTTCTCACGGGGCGAGAGAATCAATATTAAGAAGGATTCTAACTAAGGAATCTGAAAATTAAAACATTTTTATTAAAAATCTGAAAATCTAATGTAAAACAATTTTAAGGTATTTCTAAAAATTGGAGAAACAAAAATTTAAAAATTTCAAATTTTTCGAGAATTTCCGATTTAACTCAATTTTAAAAAATTCAGGCTATGGTGACCTGGCTGCTGTGACCATATGGGGACGTGTGTGTACTATGCTATATGCGATGATTGGAATACCGATAGTAATCAATATCTTGAACGATTGGGGAAATATGCTTTTCTATTTTGTGGATCGTGAGTTTGGAAGTTTTCAAAAATTCCAAAAAAAAAGTGCTGAATCATCCTCAATAAGAAAAATTCTTGATAAGAAAATCCTCAGTTGGATAGATCCTCACTAAGAAAACGCCTTACTGAGAAATATTCTTATTAAGAAATATACTCACTAAGAAAGATCCTCACAAGGAAAGATTCTCACTAAGAAGGGTTCTTATTAAGAAAAAAAATTTTTAGGAGAGATCCTTATTAAGAAAGGTCCTCACTAAGAGATATTCTCACTAAGAAGGGTCCTCAACAAGAAAGGTCCTTATTAGGAAAGATCCTTAACAAGAAAGTTTCTCATTAAAGGTGGGGGGTCATGAAAAAATAATGTTCTCGAAATTCTGTTTAAATATGCCCCTCGAGGAGTTGAACTTGTCGAGGCGAGTATTGAAGGTGCGGCGCCGCTACCGACTGAGCCATGCGGGCAAAGAGAAAGCGCACGCCCGATTGCATACATAAAGGCGAGGACGACCGCTGTACGCAGAGTGACATTAAGCGTTGTACACGGTTACGGTAGAATGCATACTCTGGCCCCAAAAATCCCCCGTAAAATCTCCTGTCCCCCCACCTTTAAGAATACTTTTTAAGAATCATCATCACTAAGAAAGTTTCTCACTAAGAAACATCGTCATTAAGAGAGATTCCCACTTTTGTACCCCAATTTCCAAATAAATCCATTTTCCAGACTTTTGGCAAAACATTGGACGTCCGTGGGTCCAAAAGATGCAAGCCAGGCTTCGACGGCGGAAAGTCCAGAGTTTGGAGGAGGTGAGAGAATTTCTTATTTTGACACCTTTTCATTTTTCCTGGACCCGCCAACTGCTCATTTGTGCTCCGAGAGAACCGAGCGAAGAGGAAAAGAATAATTAGTTGCAATCAATTTTGTGACATTTCTGACCCGGTGGATGTTGTAAACGAGTTTTAAGCTGGCGTATAAAAATCTAGATGCTCAAAAATCACTGAAAATTGGGAAATTGGGGGTTTAGGAACTCACCTGTCAAGAAAAATGAGCAATTTGTCATTTTTCTGTCAAAATACATGTAAAAAAATAATTATTACACAATTTTTTCGTCCAAACAACTGACAGGGAAATTCACATCATAACATTTTTTACTGAGAAAGAATTTCAAAAAGAAGATGACCGGGGTTTATTGGGCAATTAAGAGGTAATTGGGTGATTAAAATGTGAGTACGAATGGGATTTTTTGAAGAATTTGAGAAATTGAAGAATTGAGATATCTAGAAATATGGGAAGTATTTTTTTTAAAAATCAAAAAATGCGTGGGAGATTAATATTTTTTCAGAATTGCAAAACTGAGATTACTAGGATTTTGGATATTATCAAAATTTTAAATATTCAATTTTAAAAAAAGAAAAAAATTAAATTCTTGAAAATACAAATAATTCCGAAAATCAAGGAAAATCCAAATTTCCGAAAATTCCGAAATTCCGAAAATTCCGAAAATTCCACAAGTTCTAATATTCCAAAATCTCAAAACTCCAGAATTCCTGAAATTCTGAAATTTCTAGAATTCCCAAAATATCTCAAAACTCCGAAAATTCAAAAATTCAAAAATCCGAAAACTCCCCGGAATTCCAAAAGTACCCAGAATTCGGAAAATTCCAAAAAAGTCCAAAATCCCGAAAGTAGCAAAATTCCGAAATTCCAAAACTTCTAAAATTCCAAAAAGTCCCAGGCTTTCGAAAAAACCCAATAACTTCAAATAAATTCAAATTCCGAAATTCCGAAACTCCAGAAACCTCGAAAAACAAAAAATTCTGAAAATCCAAAATTCCAAAATTCCAAACAACATAAAAAACTGAAAAATACTAAAATTCTTTAAAAAATGTTCATTTCCAGGGCTCCATCGACAAGACACCTCTAATGGAAACCTCATCCACCCAATCAAATCCAGATGGCACTCGTCCCATCCCTCTTCTGCTCGTCCTCATTGTCCTATTCTTCTGGATGACTCAATGTGTTGCCTATTTTGCATATTTCGAAAATTGGACATTTTTCGAGTCCGTCTACTTCTTTTTCATCTCAATGACAACAATTGGATTCGGAGATTTCACCCCAAATCATTCGGTGGCCGTTGGAGGAATCGTATTCATTCTGGGCGGACTTTCAGTGGTTTCAATGTGTATTAATGTGATTCAAATGCAATTGGAGTACTTGTTCAATCAAATTGTGCAGAGGATTGAAAACGATTTCAAGACAACTCTCTCAGTGGCAGGTATGGTCCATTTTTAGGCTAGAAATTCAAATTATGACCCTCACTAAAACGAATTCTCACTGAGAAAGGTTCTAATTAAGAAATATCCTCACTAAGTAAGCATCTAACTGAAAGATTCTCATCAGCCGAAATCCTTATTAAGAAAGGTACTCACTAAGAGGAATTCACACTAAGGACTGAGAAAGTTCCTCACTGCTCCTGATTAAAGGAGGCCAGACACCAAAAAAAGCTCCTTATTAAAGGAGGCCAGACACCAAAAAAAAGTTTTCCAGATATTTTGCATAGAGAACCCCCATGAGGGGTTGAACTAATGACAGCAGCTCAGGGGTACAGCGCCGCTACCGGCTGAGCTACGGGGGGCGCGAAGACGCGATTTCGTCGCCCAAACTGTCCCCCAAAATGTTTGCTGTCTGGCCTCCTTTAAGGATCGGTCTCACTAAGAAGGATCCTAACTAAGAAATATTCTTACTGAGAAAAATCCTTATTTCGAAACATCCTCACTAGCAGAGATTCTCGCTTGGGAAGATTTTTACTAGGCTAGATGAAAGTCCTTAATAAGAAAGACCCTCACTAAGAAAAATTCTCACTTGGAATTAATTTTCCAGCCGAAGAAAGCCGAAAAAAATCGATTGGAGTATCGGAATTCGGTTCCATCGACCCTTCAAAAAAGAAAACAATGAGAACCGAAGGCGACGTGGCAACGAAGTACAGTGAGAATATGGAAATGGGAAATAAGCTTCTGATGAGATTCATGAGCAATCATCAGTGAGTTTTGTCATCGGAAAATGGTCAAAAAAAATGGGAACATTTTCAGAAAGAAAATGCTCAACGAGAAGTTTGACGAGAGAGCGAAAATGAGGAATAGTGGAACACAGACGACGAGTCAGATAAAGGTAGCAATTTTTAGTGAGAATCTTTCTAAATAAGAAATAGTCTCACTAAGAGAAATTCTTACCAAGAAAGATTCTCATTAAGAAAAGTATACATTAGCATGATTCGGCTTTGAAAATTCGAAAACTCTATCTTAATCGAGACATATCCTCATTAAGGGAAGTTCTCACTAGAAAAATGCTTACTAAGAAAGATCCTCACTGAGAGATATCCTCACTAAAAAAGATCCTCACTAGATAAGGTTCTCAATAAGAAAAATTCTCATTAAGAAAAGTTCTCACTAAAAGAGATTTTGATAGTAAGATAGATTCTCACTAAGATTTTTTACTGAGAATATTTCTTATTGAGAATCTTTCTTAAAGGTGGGGGGACATGAAAAAATAATGTTCTCGATATTCCGTCTAAATATGTCCCTCGAGGAGTTGAACTTGTGAGGACGAGGATTGGGGGCGCGGCGCCGCTACCGACTGAGCTACGCGGGCAAAGAGAGAGCGGCACCTCGGATGCATACATAAAGGCGAGGATGACAGCTGTACGCAGAGTGACATTAAGCGTTGTACACCGTCACGGTAGAATGCATACTCTAGCTACAAAAAAACTACGAAAAATCTCCTGTCCCCCCCACCTTTA